TCGAGGGGGCCAAGCTCTCGGGATCAATGCTCGAGAGCAGTGCTCCGCCATCTCGAGGGGGCCAAGCTCAGGAGCACTGCCGAGCGGGATGGTTCCCCCCATCGCCCCGTCACCGCCGACGGGGGCCCGGCAGCTCGCCCCCCCCAGGGGCGTGAGGCTTCGCAGGCGGGTGCCTGACGCAGATGCTTCGGCGACGCATCGCCGGTTCCTGGCCGGTGTTCCCTCCCCTGAGCCAGTTCCCCCCCTCTATCGCTCCTCCTTCACAGCCGGGAATGGAAGGAAGGAGGCGAAGACTGACACCACAAGTTCAGAAGCATTCCCACATTGCAGATGGGTATGTGTTTAGATACATATGTGTATACACATGCACACGTACATCACACCTACATCGGAGGTTGACGGGGGGAGTTCAAACTGAAACGGGGCCCCCCACCGAGAAATCGGGTTCGGGTTCTTGTTCGTGTCGTGCGTGCGGGCGGGGCGAGGCTACCTGGGCGGGCCAGGGGAATGAACCCGCCGTGGCTAGGGCGAAACTGAGCTCAATGACTCTACGCCCCCTGGTTGGCCGGCGGTGGCTCGGGGGTATCCCGCCAGTATCCCGCCGGTGTCCCGTGGTGTCCCGTGATGTCTCGTGCCGCGGTGTCCCGTTGTGTCCCGTGGTGTCTGATGAGATCGATTGTGAGATCGATAGTCAGGCCGATATACAGATAGTGAGATCGAGAGAGTTTGACTGTGGGATCGATAGATCGTGATACCGAAGGATAGAGGAAATCGATAGTGAGATCGACAGGTAGATAGAGAGTGAGGACCATAGATAGATGGCCAAAGAGGTGCACCGTGGTGCCTAATTGGTTTCCGCCGAATCTGATCCGTCCCCAATCGCACACTGGAAGCAGAACTCCCCCCCACAACCTCCTTATCACCCGAAGGGTGGTCGTATAGGTGTGTATGTAAAGATATGGTTACATATATTGGTGTGTCTACTTTATGTGCATATACACGTACAAGACTACATGAACGCTTCGCGCCATGCACCTTGATTGTTTTCGCACGCAGGCGGCATGTATATGTGCATGTGTACATGTATGCATGTACACTTGGAATCCCACTTATCTGTGTATATATCAGTGTACACATATGTGTAAATACGTTTGACTACTCTTCGGATGATAAGGAGGTTGAGTGGGGGGAGTACAGCTTTCGGTATGCGATTGGGGCCGGACTGGTTTGGTGGAAACGACTTGGGCACCACGGAGCACCTGCTTGGCCATCCATCTATCGGTATCATTTTTTTTCTACCGATCGATCGTACTATCGATTTTGCTCTGTCTATCGATCCCACTATCTACTGATCTCACAGCCATCCTCTCTGTCGATCCTACTATCGATTTGTCTATCGATTCCACGATCGATCCATTCTTGATCTCACAATCGACCTCACGGGACACCACGGGACACCGTGCCGCGGGACTCCGCGGGACACCGACCGGACACCACGGGACACCATGGGACACCGCGCCACGGGACAGCACGGAACACCAGCGGGACACTCCCGAGCCACCAGCGGCCAACCGTGGTGCGTAGAGTCATTGAGTTCAGTCTAGCCACGCACGGCAGGTTCATTACTTCCGCCCGTCTACGCAGCTTCGCCTCGCCGGCAAACACGACACGGACATAAAACCTGAACCGATTTCCCGGTGGGGGGCCTCCGTTTCATTTCGAATTCACCCCCCCACACATCCGAGATATGTATACATTCAAAAGAAATGGGAAAATAAGTGTACATGGAAAGTGTAGGTATAGTTGTACATATGAATATTGATATGAATACAGATAGAACTATCAACGTACATACATACAACTATAAGGATAGACCAGCATCTAAATACATGTATATGTATTTTCAGATACTAAACACATGAATGTGTGTGTATGTGTGTGTTCCTCTCTCTCTCTCTGTCTTCTTATCGGTATACAGATATGAATACACATTCTGCTGCATATATCTTTATAGGGCCGGGGACCCCAGACAGGCCCCCTACCCCCCGAACGAATTTCGGACTCCCTGGGCTGCCCCCCCCAAAAATCGGACCCCCTCGGTCTGGAGTTTTGGGCCCCCCTGGACGCCCTTGGAAGAGGCTCCCCAGCCCTGCCGCGCCTCCCAGGGCGCCTTGCCGGGCCTTGCCGGCAAGCTCAAGGCGATCAGAGAAGTGGTCGGGGAGGCGCAGGAGAGCCCGCAAGACGGCCTCAAGATGGCCCAAGACGCCCCCCAAGACGGCCCAAGAGGCCCCAAAGAAGCCGCAAGAGGCAAACGTCGTCCCATTCCCTAGGGACAGCGAACGAACATTTTGAGTAGGTTCGCTCTTTGTGTCATGGCAGCGCCCCAGACGGCCCTAGAAGCTTGCGAAATCGCCCCACCGCGGCCCAAGAGGTCCCCAAGACGGCCCAAGAGGCCCCAAAGACGCCCCGAGAGGCAAGCTTCGTCCCATCCTCTAGGGAAAACGTACGTGTTTAGCATATTCGTTTTTGTGTCGTAGCAGCGTCCAAGACGGCCCAAGAAGCTTCAGAAATCGCCCCACAGCGGCCCAAGAGGCCTTCGAGCCGGGCCAAGAGGACCCCAAGACTTTTCCAAGACGGCCCAAAAGAAGCTCACGAGGCCCCCAAATGCTCCCAAGAGAGACCCACGAGGGCAATGGGGGGTCCCCAAGCCCCACGGCAGCACAAGACGGCCTCAAGACGGCCCCAAAGTCCCCCACAACGGCCCAAGAGGCCCCAAAGACGCCCCAAGAGGCCTTCGGGAGAGCCCCCAAGAGGCAAACATCCTTCCATTCCGTCCGGTAAACGTACGTTTTTAGCTAAATTCGTCTTTTGTGTCGTAGCAGCGTCCAAGATGGCCCAAGAAGCTTGCGAGATCGCCCCAAGGCGGCCCAAGAGGCCCCGAAGAGGGCTCCAAGCCGGGCCAAGAGGACCCCAAGGCAGCTCCAAGACGGCCCAAAAGAAATTCACGAGGTCCTCAAAGGCTCCCAAGAGAGAGCCACGAGGGCCATGGGAGGTTCCCAAGAGGGCCCCAGTTTTTCGGAACGGCCCAAGAGGGACCCAACACGGTCCACACGGGCTTCACCAGGACCCCCAAGAAAGCGCCCAGGAGGCCTTCAGGGGTCCCCAAGGCCCTTGAGAGACATTCATGAGGCTTCCAAGAGCTTCTCCAACGAGGAGCCTCCGCGAAAAGACCTGCGGCAGACGGGAAATAGTTCGCAATGCCAGGCGAGAGCGTGGATGAACGAGAAGTACGATGAGGAACGGAACGATGAGGCGTTGTTGTCCATTGCTTTGCATTGCGCGACCGGGCGACTTGTGCTACCAGTGAGCCCGTACGCGAAGGACCCCGAACGTCATTATTTTGCGCGGTCGTGCGAACTCCAGAGGGCATGTTTTACGAAATCCCACCAGCCCTCTGGGCGTAGGTGGTCTAGAGCGCTTCCTCTTCCTCCCCTCTTCTTCCCCTCAAAAGCAATACAAAGTACATTTTTGGGCAAAGTCTTGAGTCAAATTTCGCGAAGCCCGCGGGCACCTTGAATTGTTTTTGGCAGGGACGGCGGGGATGTCAGCCTATTGCCTGCTGCGCGCAGGGTTACCATCCCTGACAACAGAACAATACAAAATGCACTCCGCGACTAAATCTGGATCATGCGCGGCGACCCCACGATCACTGTCAATTGGTTTTTGACAGGGACGGCGGGGGTGGTGGCGTATGACCTTCTGTGTGCGGGCCCACCAGACACAATGATGGGCATTGGTTTTCGACAAGGATTGTGGGGGCCGACATGTTTCCCGATGTGAGCTGTCACGTGAGCAGGCGCACCTGACACACTCTGCCCGTGCCCCGAACGTGGCTGGAGTATGCGGCACACTTGGCGCACGTTGAGCACGTGGCGCATTTGGCGCACCAGGCGTGCCTGGCACGCTCGGGCCCCAGGGGTGCCTGGCGCGCCTGGCACGCGTGGCGTATCTCGCCCCAGCGTCGCGCACATGGGGTCGGCTTTGGTCCCCAGTAGCTGCCCATCCAAGCACGACCGCTGAGCATGCTCAGGCTCGGCTTATGTGTTGGCCGGGCGGGTGGGAGCGAGCTGGACGGCTTCCGATCTAGGAGGTGCCTTGGCCCCCCCTCCTACCTTTCCCCTGGAACTGGACGGGACGGCCCGCGGGCACTCAGAGCGTCCAAGGTGGCCCAAGACGGCACCAGGAGCGCCGTGGAGAGCCCAAGATGACCTCCAGGATGGTTCAAGATAGCACAAGATGCCCCAAGATGGCCTCCACGATGCTCCAAGAGGCCCCAGGACCGCCCCAAGACGGCTCCAAGAGGCTTCCGAACCCCCCTAAGGAGGCACCCGAGACGCAAACATCCAAACACCGAAGGAAAACCGATGATGGTTGTATCGTCGCCTGCTTGCTTTCGATGGTTTCCCGAGGCCTCAAGATGGCTCAAAGATGGCCCCATAGAGCGGTCCACAAGAGCCCCAAGACGTCCCCAAACGCGCTCACGAGCGCCCCCAAAGCGCCCTAAGAGCGCCCCAAGAGGCGAGTTTTGGGGCTCTCGATGGGGCAACCAACGCTAATTAAAGCTCCCCTGCTTTTTGATCGATGTCCTCCAAGATGGCCCCAAGAGCAGTTCTAAAGCTCCCAAGAGGGCCCCAGGAGGCGCCCAGACGGGCCAACGGGGCCTCCAAAAGGCCCCCAAAGGCCCCCAAGAGACCTTTAAGAGGCTGCAGAAGCATCCACGAGACACCCAGAACGCTCAAATACGGCCTTGGGCCCGCCACGATACCCCTCCCAGACGCCCAAAGATGCTTCCAAAAAGCTTCCACGAGACATTCGAGGAGGAG